CGGAGCCCCGCGCCCCGTGCGCCCAGGATGCCCCGCGGGGACTCGGAGCAGGTGCGCTACTGCGCGCGCTTCTCCTACCTCTGGCTCAAGTTCTCTCTCGTCATTTACTCCACAGTGTTCTGGGTGAGTGACTCCGGGAGGGCCCCGGGATGGAAGTGGGGGCGCACTCCCGGGACCGCCCCCGCGCCGCGCCCGGCGAGGGTCCCGGCTTGGCTGCTCCTGGGAGGGCACGGAAGCGCGCGCCCGCTCCTCGTCCCACTCCCCCGGGGAACCGGGAAATCCTGGCGGCCAAGCGCAGCCTGGGTGTCAGCCGCGGGTCGGGAGCGTTGGAGCCCTTGGTTACCACGGAGGAGCGGCACCCAGCCCTCCGGCGCGCGGGACCCGCGGTTCGACCCTCCGTGTCTGCTTCGTGTCCGCCGGCCGGCGCGGCCCGCCTTGGCTCCCGCACCGACCGCACCCACCCCGCCCCCGCGCATTAGAGTTTAGCTCCCCATCGGCCTGGGGAGGAGACGCGGTCAGGCTTTGTGGCCCTGGACTCCGGGTCAGCCCCCAGTATTCATCAGCCCCCACTGTTCATCTGAGCAAGACGCTTCCCCACCGCTCCTGGGTTCCTCTTGAGGGCATTGAGGATGTGCCCGGAGAGTGTACGTGCCTCCTCCTAGGAGCGGGTGGGGACTCCACCCGCCGACCTCTGGAGAGGTCTCCAGCCACCTGCTTAGTAACTGTTTCCGGCGCCCACTGGGCTTTGCCTCATCTTCTGCCTTATTGCGGAGCAGGACGGTGGTAGTTGGACATGAACCAGCCTTGCAGTCCTGCCAGTACCACTTTCTAGCTGAGTGATCTTGGGGAAGTTCCTTCAGCTCTCTAGGCCATAGTTACCTCGTCTGTAAACAGAGACAGTAATTATATTCAACTTTTAGGATGGTGGTGGAGCTTAGTAGGCCAAGCACAGAGACCAGTGAAGAGCTCAGGAAGTGCGAGCCCTTTTTATTATTGTGGGCAGGGAAAATGGGTGCTCCTGGTGACCCTGTCCCAACACACTGGATTTCTTTATGGAGATTTCAGACTAGGCTGGCCCCCACTTAGAAATGAAAACATCTTTCTACAGTCTAATTCCAGTCCTGCCTCTGTAGAATAGGCCCCTGCCCCCCACATACCACAGGGCAGACTTCCCTGGAAAGGGGAGAGGGGGTCACTGACATCCATTCCCCCCAAACACACACACACTTCTGGTCTCCTCCCCAGCTCCCCATTTGGTCTATTCTACCAGCAGGAAATGCTAGATCTGCCATCAGGCCTGGCTTTCCATGTGACCCCTGGCAGATGTGGCCTTGCCTAGTGGTCAAGAGATCCAGATCCAGTCTTGTTCTGTCACTGACTCACTGGGAGAGCTTAGGCAAATCACTTGCCTGTTGGAGGCCTCAGTGCTGTTAAATGACTTGCCTAGTTCAAAAACTAGGTGAGCCCAGCTCCCAATCCACATCTTAGACACTACATAATGTGGAAGAGAAATGAGCAGTGTGTTTGGGGGCCAGAGGATGGAGCATAGATCTGTTGGTGGAAACTCCAGGGAGGTAACAGGATGAATGTGGAATTGAGGTGGGGTGGTGGTGATCTGAGCTCTTATTTGGTGGTTCTCTCCCAGTGTTGCATCAGAGTCAACTAGAGAGTTTTAAAAACACTACAGATACCTGGGCATAAGTATTTATTTTAACTTATTTAAGCTCTCCAGGTAATTCTAGTGTGTACTCAGAGTTGAAAACTGCTGGGCTACATGATCTCATAGGCCTCCTGATTCTGATTCTGGGATGCTTCGCCTGCCCCTTGCTTGTCTGGCCCCAGGAGCTCTTCTCTCAGAAGATCAGAGTTGAAAGAGGGAAGGCTAATATTGATGGGTGTGGAGGTGGGGATTTAGAGAAGGCCAGGTTGTCAGAAGGTTGGAGTTACATTTCTGGCCTCACCCCTTCCCTCCACATGTAATCACTGACCAGTCTCTTAACTTCCTTGTACCTCCACTTTCCCATCTGTAGTCTGGATACTGATACTGTGCTCCATACCTCACTGGACTGTTTTAGGATCAGTAATGTAGGGAGAGAGTGACATGTGGGCAAGCCAAGTGCTATACAAAAGAAAGTTATATCATTAAAACTAAACTTGCCTGACCAGTGTGGTTCAGTTGGTTAGTGTTGTCCTTTGCACCAGAAGGTTGTGGGTTCGATTCCCGGTCAGGGCACATACCTAGGTTGTGGGTTCCATCCCCTGTTGGGGAGCATGTGGGAAGCAACTGATCCATGTTTCTCCCTCATAGTGAAGTTTCTCTCTCTCCAGTCTCTCTCTCTTTCTCTCCCTTCCTCCCTTTCTAAAATCAATTAAAAACACCGAAACTTGAATTTTTAAGGCCTTGTTCTGCCATTGTCCCCTACAACCCAGAGAGAAGACCACCTCATGGCCCTTGCTTTGCTGCTTCTCTTGGGGGAGGGTGGGACTCAGAACTTGGAATCCTTCCTCTCCAGCCAGCTGAGCTCACCTTACCAAGTCCTTGACTTCCCATCGCTGGAAGTATTTCTGCTTAAAAATCTTCCCACCCATGCCAAGAACTCAGCCACCTGCCAACTCTGCCAGGGCAGCTCCAGGTGCCAGAGTTTGACTGCAGGGCAGAAGCCCAGAGTGAGTGAGTAATTTGTTCGAGACTGGGTTTGCTGTTAATTGGAAATCATTACAGGAAAGCCCATTATGCCTGGTACCATCCCTCGGGAGGAGGAGTGGTGCCAAGGGTTACTTGCTTTATAAGCCCAAAGTGCTAACACTTTCATCTCAGCCTTTAGGTTTGGAAGGGGCCATAAATTTTTACCATAACCATGCACCTTCTGTAAGACTTTTTGCTTTAAAACTTATTTTCAAATAAGGACATTGTACAAAATTTAAAAGTACAAAAGAGTAGTTACCAGTGACAAGCCTCCCTGCTTCCTCTCTGCCCTGGCCTGCACTGTCCAGAGAAGACATCTATTATCAGTTTCTTGTGATTCTTTTCTGAGCTAATATCCTAGCCTAGAATGTCCTACATGTGCATGTATTATATTCTTTTTCTTTCCACATAAAGTAGCACACTATACACAGTTCTGCCCTTACCTTTTCATTTAAATTTAAATCCATGTGCATTTTGGAGCTCTGCTAGGGATTGATTGCCTCATTCTGTTTGATGGCTGCACAGAATTCACTGTAGGCTATGCCAACATTTATTTAATCAGTCCCTAGCTGGGGAACTCAGGTTGTTTCCAGTTTCTAGTTACTGTAAACAGTGCTGCAGTGAGCATCTTTGAACATGTTGCTTTGCACATATGTGTGCGTGTCTGCAGGATAATTTTCAGAAGTGGAATTGCTGGGTTAAAGGGTATGTGAATGAATCAATCATAAGTGTATGCAGCTTGATGAATTTTTACAAAGTGAACACACCTGTATAATGAGCCCCAGGGTCAGCCAATAGAATGGACAGCAGAAGCCAGAGCCCCCCTTGTTCCCACTTCCAGTCTCTACCCCTTCCCTCCAGTGGTCCTCACTACTGGGATGTCTAAAAGCATAGGACAGCTTTGTCTGGTTTGGTATGTGTGCTTACGATGTTGATAAATGTTAAATTGCCCCACATAGAGGTTTTATCAACTGTAACATTATTTGCTATATTTCTGTAAGCAGATTCACATCTTAAACTTAACTTCGTTTTTAAAAGAAGGGTCTTATGTCACTACTCCCAATGGGAAAACAATATTCCCTCATCAAAAATAGCAGGTAATGGTTACAATAAATACAGTGCAAGGAAAACAGAATGTTATTAAATCCTAGCTTGTGGGTGCTGTAGGCTGTGAACCCAAGGCCTGCCCTCTGTGTTCAAAAAGCAGGTTGGCAGGTGTTTGAGAGGCTTAAAGACAGACTGGCACCAAAATTGAGATTTGCTCCTTTATGCAATGGGGCGGATGGAAAGGGAATTGAGCAATAAAAACTCTTCTTGGTCTATGAATCAATATGAGTACGACCTTGAACCACTTTCAGTGATCTCCTACTCCATCCTTGGGAGCCCACTCACTTTCAGAGGGGGACCTCGGGGCCCAGAGAGGATGTGTTTCAGGGTCACTCAGCAGAGCTGGCATGAGCCCCCAGGTGTCCTCACCCCCAGTTCATCGCTCCTTCTCGTAGGTTGCTGAGGGTTCTCCATGAACAATGAGCTCACTCAGGCACTTGGAGCCAACTCTTCCCACCATGCAGGGTGAATCATTCTGACACATGTGCCCTCAGCCCACTGGGGACACACCTCTATTTTTAGCACTCACCACAGGGTATTCTAGAGATCCGTTTACATGGCTGTTTTTCCTTGCTGGACTGTGGGCTCCTGGAGGTCAGGGGTGTAGCTCATTCATATCTTTTTCCAAATGCTGGTCTCAGGGCTGGGCACTCAATAGGTGCTCAGGGAAGGCCTGTTGCATTGTGGTGGCCGAGTCCTAATCTGTGTTATGTAAATAAGGATTTGAGATGGCGGTGACTGGATTAGAGGCCGAGCAGGGTGTGTAGCCAGCAGTGGTTAGATTTTGCTGAAGTCTTGAATTTGCAAAGTGGGCAGAGCTGCTCATGGAGACACTGGCACTCTTTGAATATTAGTAGTAATATTAGGAAGAAAAAAACTTAGGGGGGTGAGTGGGAAGGAAGTGGATGTGGGTAAGTAGTGAAGGTAATGCGTCAGAGGCAATATTAACTTTTCTTTGTCTTGTGCAAGCACGGACCCTGTAATCATAGCTTGGCCTGTGATTCTTTATATATCTCTATTATTTAACAAACGAGTAAGAGTGTGGACTCTGTACCAGGCTGCCTGGGTTCAAATCCCAATTCTGGCACTTACAGGTTGAGTGACTTAGGCACTAGCTTCCATGTGCCCCACTTGCTTTATTTGTAAAACGAGTGATATTAAAATCTACTGGAGAGTTGCTGAGATCATTACATGGATTAATATATAGGAAATGCTTAGAGCAATGCCTAGTACATGAGAAACACTATCAGCTACTTAAGGGTTAGACTTTCTTCCCCTACCTTCCTTTCTATTCCAGGTGCCTAAGAGCCATAGACTGAGAATGAGAAAG